TCTTAGATCACACCACGGTGAAGTAGTAACTCTGAACTTGAACTCTTGTCTGGCTCCAGAACTCAAGTTCTTAACCAACGTGACAGGTGAACTCCACCTGAGTGGCAGGCACTGTGCCACACATTAAAAACATACAGATGAGTCAGCTGATGCCAGCCTGGAGCTCAGGGCCTGGGAAGGGAAACCAACATACCACCAACAATACGAGAATAATATGAGGGCTACCATAGAGGTTGGTTCAAAGGACATTTGGACATTAACATTTAAATAAAAACAGAGTCAGCCATAGGCCTACTTATTCCCATAAATCAAACTTCTCATTTTGCCATATTTCCCTCCAGGTCTTATACCTACATACATATCATTTTTAATACAAGTGTAATTGTAGTTTAGATACAATTTATATTCTGATTTTTCACTGAATATGTGTTAAATGTATATGCGACTTCCATAGCACATGTAAGACATTTCATTTTGCTGAAGGTAGGAAATGTATCATCCTTATTTTCCAGAACTTGAATATTTTTCGTGTCATTTACTGTAGTAATCATTCATTCATTCACTTAACACACAAAGAGTATTTATACCGTGCCTGGTACCCTCCAAGCCCTTTAATAAGAAATGGTAACTCATTTTTCTCTAGGCTTTTTCCTGTAGGGTTTTCTACCTTCTTCTTTTTTCTTCCACCCTTGGGAGGGTATCAGTGGTGCGCCTTTGGAGTCTGGTTGGGGGGAGACCTCCCTTCTCAATTCTTTGCTCAAATTAGACATTTTTTTGGTTCAAGAATCATCCTCCTGGCTCTAAAGTAGAATTGACAATCCCCCACAGATATGCAACTACCAATTGTCCTGATTTCCTCCTCTGCTCAGAAATTATGCTTTATATCATTATCTTGTAGGGTGATGTGTGTTAAAGAAGGAAGGCCACATTACCCCAAACCAATAGCTCTGAGATGGTATCACTCCTGCTGAGAATGAAATTAGTGCTAAGTTGGCAGTACAGCATAGTGGTTAAATGCTTGGGCCTTCAAGCTTGACAATCTCATTTTAAATTCTTGCTGAGCAAAATTTAAAAATTACTTATTCTGAGTTGGGCACAGTGGCTCATGTCTGTAATCCCAGCACTTTGGGAGGCTGAGGCAGGGGGATTGCTTGAGGCCAAGAGTTCAAGACCAGCCTGGGCAACATAGTGAGGCCCAATCTCTACAAAAAATAAAAAAAATAGCCGGGCATGGTGGTGCATGCCTGTAGTCCCAGCTACTCAGGAGGCCAAGGTGGGAGAATTGCTTGAGCCCAGAAGTTCAAGGTTACTATGAGCTTACCACTGCACACCAGTCTGGGAGACACATCAAGACACTGTCTCTAAAAAAGAAAAGAAATTACTCAATCTCTTCGTCTTAGTTCCTTCATTCATCCCACTTTACAAGGTTATTGATAGGATTAAATGAAATGAGGCAAGTTAAACACTGAACACAATAACTAGCACAAAGGAAGAACTCAATTTATGTTAGCTTATATTACTGTTGTGAACTGAATGAGATCAAGCTGGGACTACAGATATGTCATTCACCCCAATTTAATAACTACCAGAAAACAATAAAAACAAAAAAGGAATGCCCAAATCCAAAACACTCTATCAATGGGTATACAATGATGGATATCCAGGAATTTTAGCTGATATGTTTCATAAGTTGCCGTGTGTCATAAGATGTGTCTTTACACCATGAAACCCTTTGATGCCAATATTGGTAGGCCATGAATAACACACGTATCAAAACCTTAGATTGTGATATTTAGTGATCAGTTATGGTGAATATGACTTGGCTGAGCAGTAGCATATTTCTATCCATGCAATAATAAATGATTTTATAACAGTGTTCTATTATGTGTTTTGGCCAACTCAACTAATATAAAGAATATGAAATTAA